ATTTAACTTTTATTTTGGTTTTGTTATTCCACTTCCATAAAAAAAATTTGTTATGTCTGGACGTCGAAACATAAAACCTCCATTTTCTACCTTGAAGCTGGACCTTGGGGCTGCAGCTGTGAGACATTCCATTTTTACATGCCTTCAAGGGGTGTGATATACTACTTACCTTCCTTCCTAAAAATTAAGCTGGAATTTATCAAATAACAATAAAAAAAACTTAGCTAAATTTATAAAAAGATAAATGAAATACTAGATATTGTGGGAGCTGTTGTTTTGCATGCAAAAGCGTTTTAGGGTCTACTATTTACATCCGACAATTTATCTTTAAAGCGTTAAATCCTGAAAAGAAATCTTATGAAATTTATTAATCTCTTCTCACCAGACATCCTCACCTCTGTTTTATACCAGGCAGTCATACTCTAAATCGGGAAAATAATGTCAGAGGTAAGCGGTTTACAGGGATTTGATTTATAATTAGCGAGGATATGCAGGATTTCATGATCATCTGGTTTACATCATTTGGAAAATATAATAATAATAATAAATAATAATAATAATTACAAAAAAGGAAAATAATAACGATGTCTATCCAGATCCTATTGAAATATCAGAGTATTGGAAAGGTATTTGGGAAAGTTAAAAAAGTTTTAACAATGAAGCAAATTGGTTGGAAAATATTCGCCATAGCTTATCAGATCTCCAACCTATGAAAGCAACCAGTATCACTGTGGAAGATGTGACTAAGGCACTCAAGCAAATGAAAAACTGGAAAGCTTCTGGTCCAGATAAAATACAAAATTACTGGCTAAAGTCCTTTAGCAGTGTTCATAGCCACCAGTGTGGTATCAGAAACTATTGTCTAAAGAGATTGACTTACCAGCGAAGTTCTGTACCGGTACGAATCACTTAATAAAGAAAGGAAGCAAAAACAGGCTGGAGCCACAGGATTTGAGACCCATAACTTGTCTTAATGGTGTGTACAAATTACTAACGGCTGTAATCAGGAATAAGTTGACAGATTACATTGAGGAAATGGGTATTATGGCAGCGGAACAGTTAGGTATTAAGGCAGGTTCAAAAGGTTGCAAAGAACTTCTGATTATCGATTCTTTTATTGCTGCTCAAGTTACAAAAAAATCTCGTAATATTACATTGTCTTGGATCGACTACCGTAAAGCCTTCGATTCGGTTCCCCATGATTGGCTTCTGGAAGTGTTGAAAATCTATAAAGTAAACCAGGCAATAATAGATCTATTAGAACGACTGATGAAAATCTGGAGGGTCTCAATCAGCACACCAACTTTGAATGGAATGAGTTCCAATGAATACATATCTATAAAGAGAGGTATTTTTCAAGGGGACTCCCTTAGTCCTCTATGGTTTTGTTTGGCGCTTAATCCACTTAGCAAATTATTGGCTGATACAGATAAAGGGTACCTACTTAACTCTGAAATGAAGCTTTCTCATTCATTCTATATGGATGACCTCAAGCTTTACGCTAGGAATGAAGACGAAATGGAAGCTCTTCTGAAGACAGTAAGTACGTTCAGTAATGATATAAAAATGGATCTAGGAATAGACAAATGTGCAATAGTACACGTAAAAAGAGGAAGAGTTATTAAGGGGAGTAATATTGAGATATCGGAAAATGTAATAATGAATCAATTGAGAGAATCTGATTCTTACAAGTACCTTGGAGTACACCAACTTCTGAAATTCAATGCTAATTCAAAGAAAAACTATGAGGAAGAATTTAAATACCGTGTTAAATTAGTACTTAAATCACATTTAAGTGGAAGAAATTTGATACGGGCATTGAATACCTGGGCGATAGCCTACTCATTTGGGGTACTGAAGTGGACTAAAACCGATTTAGAAAGGTTGGATCGTTTTCTTAGAGTACAGATGGTGCTTTCAAGGAAGAGGCATCCAAAGTCATCTGTAGTGAGATTGTATCTTCCTAGGAAGTCGGGAGGGCGTGGTCTAGTCAGCCTCTTGAATTTATGCCGAAAGGAAGAAAATAATCTTCGCAACTACATTATAAACCATACTTCCAATATCCTTTCAACTATGGCATCATTAGATATAAATTATACAGCTTTGAATTTACGAAGTCCTGGAATCCCGATTAGTGAAGCAGATGATGGCACTCGATCAGAAATATGGAAAAATAAACCTTTACACGGACGATTTTATCACTCATTAATGGATGTACGAGTGGACGCTGAGGCGTCATTGACATGGCTGAAGAGTGGAAGTATCTTTCCGGAAACAGAAGGATTCTTGTTTGCTATTCAAGAACAGGTAATAGCCACAAAAGCATACAGAAAACATATATGTGGAGAGGGCATCGATGACTTATGTCGCTTATGCAAAAAGGCAGTTGAATCAATTCAACATGTAACATCGGGATGCACAATACTTGCGGGTAAGGAATACTTGCAGACACAACAATGCAGCTAAGGTAGTGCATCAAGCTATGGCTCAGAAAATGGAACTCGTCGATAAGTATTGCCCGTATTATAAATACCATCCAGAACCAATTAACTCCATACGCAATATCAAGGTGTTCTGGGATCAACCGATCCTGACGGATCACACCATCCCCCACAATAGACCAGACATTCTTATAATAGATAAAAGTAAGCAATCTGCGTTTATCATAGAGATTGGAGTTCCTTCTGATGATAACCTACACAAGGTAGTAGCGGAAAAAAAGAGAAAGTACGTAGAATTGGCTGAAGAGATCAAACAATTATATCATTTGAAGGAAACCCGAATTCTGCCAATTGTAATCTCGTGCAACGGACTGATACCGGAAGAAACTGTATCTTCTCTGCGACTACTAGAACTACCATCTCAGACGATCGAAAGAATGCAACAAGCGGTGTTATTGGGAACAGCAAATATTGTCAGGAAGTTCACAAATATAAAATAATTAAGAAAATATACAAATGTAATTTTTGGCTGACCTAATAGGTCCCCAACTATTACATAATTTAAACACCATTGTATATGTGAAAAATAAAGAGATAATAATAATAATAATACTTTATTTATTCTGGGACGAGTCCCTTTAGAATAATACAGGAAGACAGAAATGAGGGCTAAGGAGCCTCAGAGATATATAAATAAAAATACAGAGTAATTGAACAGTCTTGGTTAAAAAAAAAATAATATATATATATACACATATACATATAAGTTGCTTTCCAATTTTGATCAGTTGACAATAAAAAAGAAAAAAAAATAGATAAACAAAAATTGGAGTACAAATAATGAAGAACGAACTAATAATTTATGTACATATTTTCAGTAGTATCTATTTACGATTTTATGGGGACTGGATGGATAAGAAATGATTGAACAGGCGGGATTTAAAGGTAGGAAGGGTATTAGATTGACGGATATGGGAAGGGATGGAGTTCCATAGAGATGAGGATCAGATAATGAACGATTTGTCGAAATCAGCGGTTCGGTGGGCCCTTATGTATAAATCAGAAGACCGGGAACGAGTATTGCGGGAACGAACAGAGGATTTGAATTGAAGGAGCTCGGAGATGTATGAGGGACGGTGGGATTGGATGACTTGAAAGAGGAAGGATGCCAGGAAATACTTACGATGGTAGGAAGGATAAAGCCACTTTAACTCCGCGTAAAAATGGGAAACAGAGGCGTCCCTTGGGATCCCAAAGATGAATCGTACAAAGCAATTTATCAAACGTTTTAGTTTCGCCTCGAGATCCCCAGAGAGGCCCCCATATACCGTACAGCAATAGTCAAAGTGGGGAAAAATTAAGGAAGTGACTAGGAGCCTATGGGTTTCAAAAGGAAATAGGTGACGGGAGTAGTTAAGACGTTTTAGGATGGAAATGATACGGCGGGAAATATTGGATATATGATTTTTCCAAGAAAGCGTTTGATCAATGGTTATTCCAAGATTTTTGATGGTAGGGTGAAATTTGATGGGGTTATTATGTAGGAACAGAGTTGGAATAGTAGGGACAGTTTTAAGGAGGTGATTGGAGCCTATTAAGATTGCCTTTGTCTTATCCGCATTCAACTTCAGCTTAAATATATATACTGAACTTAACTAAAATAGTTCGTGTTCTAGAACTATTGTTCTACAGCTTAGCTGGAGAGGAGGTGTATTAAAAACCACATGTTATAGATAAATCAAAATATTGCTTATTAATATTCTTAATTGAATATGGTACTTATACTCTCAATTTATATTTAGTAATGTTTTTTTTTTTTCAGGGACAAGCGGCCTATGTATTATTTTATACTAGGAATAATACTATTCTTAGTGAAGAAATACAGTAACTTAATGACTCCTCATTATAACACTCTTCATGGCATATTTCACTGTTTAACATTGTTCCTTGTGGTGGAATATACATAATGTATATAAAAAGAAGGAGATAATTATGTCCTTGAACTGTAATAACACAAATGTGATATTTGTTTCATAGAAATTAAGGTTTTAATGCTGTTGTCAATATTAATATTTTTTTTTTCAAATCAAATGATAAAAAACCTGGAGGATAACTTCTAAAAAAAAGTACTAGATCAAAATTATTTTTATGAAATGAATTAAGTGAAATTAAATATACTGAACATAATTGTTTATTGGATCATTTGATCATAATGGAGAAAATCTTTTCACAACTTAAGGATGCCGGTAGCGAGTTGTCTGAGAAAGAGAAAATTAATTACATATTATTGTCAATGCCTAAATCATTTGAGAATATTATTATGGAACTGGAGACAATTGAAGAGTTAAAAATGGACTTTGTTAAGAACAGAATACTTGGTGAAGAGGAGTAGTAAAAAAGGACTGGTTAAATTTGTCGATTTCTAAACATTCCTGTGTTTTGGATGTGGATGGCCAGGGTACGAAAAATTCCAATGTAGAAACAGTCAAAAGGTGGGAACTTGGCACAATAGTGGCAAATGGAGTCGAGGATCAACTCTCGGAGGACGAGGATCAACCCATGGGGAACGAGGATCAACCCACGGAGGACAAGAACCAACCCATGGAGGATGAAGTATCACCAAAGGAGGTCAACTGCATTACAGGGAAAGAAGAAGAGAGAAGTATTAACTTACTGGTACATCAGAAGATACAGATGTTAATAAATATGTTAGTTTTATGTAATGTAATCAAAATTTAAAGGAGCAGAATAATTTTAGATGGTGTGTAGACTCTGGAAGTTCTTTTCATTTAGTAAATGATGTAAATTTATTTTATAATTATTCTAAATTGAGCAATACTGTAAAAATATCGAAGGTTGGCCTGTAGCCATTACACGAGCCATACCAGCTCCATAAAAATAGATGAAAAGTGGGGTATATAGTGTAAAATCTTAGTTTGAATTGTTTAAATAGTATTGTGCAAAGCATAAACAGTGAAAAACACCTGAAAAAATTATACTCGAAGAGTGTATTGTTTCATTGTTAGTGTTTGGAAAAAAGTCAAACATCGCAGTCGAATAGAGTGGTATGTTCAGGAAAATTACGTCATTAACATGCCACCCTCAGCTGGCCAGGTAACCCAATAATTACCTGTATTACTTTCCTAAATATTTATTTTTGTCAATAGAAACATCAAATCAATAAATTAGAAATGGAAGAACTAAAACAACTAATAAAAAATATGAGTGCTAAGATAGATGACAATACAGAACAAACTAAAGCATTGGAAAAAAAATACAGAAACATAGGCAGGAGACTAAAATGTTAAAAGAAGAAATCACCAAGTATAACTCACTATTGATAAATTTAGAGGAAAAAACAGATATTATGGAGGCAAAAAGTAAGAGAAATGAAGAATTTGTGAAAAATGAGCTCCGAAAAAAGTACTTAGTTTTGTATAATGTTGGAGATATAACAAATGAAGATTACGATTCCCTAGAACAGGAATTTTTAAAAATATTTAAAGAACATATTGAGGTAAATATTCAAAAATGTGATGTTGATTATGTAACTAGACTGGAAACATGACAGAAGAGAAAAGAATTGACCCCTTATCTTATTGAAGCGAGGGTGTCAAACAAGATTAAAACTGGATAAACTGGTTATAAACAAAAAAATATATCCCTTAGAAGAGGTAAAACAGTACGGGGAGAGGATGTGGTGTGGAAATAAAAAGAAAAGGTATGAGAGCTCGGACTCAGAAGAATCGGAACACCCAGGAAAGAGAAGACATCTAGAAGAGATAGACATCTACGGAAGAAGTCACACAAACCGATCACGGAGTGGTTCAGCTCGAACCTGACTAGCAATCACAGCATTGCCAAGATTATCTAGCGGGTAGACATAGCTTATACAACAAACAGATATCAATTTTAAGTTACAATATACATGGTTTAAAAAACAAATTAGATAATCATAATTTTTTAATTTTCTTAAACAATTTACATTATTTAGTTTACTTGAAACACATATAGAGAAACAAAACTTTGTCAAATTTCAAAAAATAAATGGTTTGATCAAGAATGTAGAAAACTTAGAAACAGTTGCTTTAAAAAACGAAATATATTTAGAAATTCCAATTCAATACCAGATAAAGAAATATATCAAAAAACCAAAGCGGAATACAAAAAACTTTGTATAACAAAGAAGGCTAATTGCTATATAAATTTGTGCAATTCTTTTTGTCAGGTTAGGGACTCAAAACATTTTTGGAAACTTGCAAATACTCTGAAATTTTCTAAATTTGTAAACGGGAACAATATAACACCAGAACAATGGATTAATCACTTTGTGAGACTTCTTAATCCTGAAAGGAAACCATTCGAAATTAATTATGTTCTTAATATAATTACTAACGAATATTTAGATAAAACATTTGAATTGTCAGAGTTAAAACAAGCACTGCAAAAAGCGAAATGTGGCAAAGCACCTAGTATTGGCAGAATTCCATGCAAATTTTATAAATATAGTTCAGATAACAACTACCTTGAAGAACTAATATCATTATATAATAAAATATATGAAACTGGAAAATTTACCAGAAATGTACCAGAAAGTTTACAGAAATCTATAATTTTCCCACTGTTTATGAAAAGCGATATAAATATTACACAAAATTATAGAGGAATTTCATTTTAAATACAATATCAAAATTATTCCCTGCAATGTTACTTCAAAGAATAACAACATGGTTAAATACTAATTATATATTGTGTGAGAATCAAGCTGGTTTCAGAAATGGGTATAGTACAATAGATAATATTTTCAACCTAATAAATAAAATAAAAACTAAAACTGTGAAGAAGAGAAGCAAAAAATACGCTTTTTTTATTGATTTTAGTTGCACATTTGACTCCTCAGACATAAACGCAATATTTTATAAATCAAATAAAATTATCCGAATATTGGAAGGGTTATATAAAAACACTGAATCCGCAATTTGGACAAAAGAGAGCTTGATCCAATCATTTGAGACTAAATCTGGTCTAAGACAGGGATTTCTTCTTTCACCAATGTTATTCAGTTTATTTATTAATGATTTCCCAATGTGTATGGGAACGGGTTTGACTTTGTAGAGAGAATCAATAAATGTTCGCAGATGACATAGTATTACTTGCCAATGACCCATCAACAATGCAACAAACGGTTGATAAAGTAGGGGGACTAAATGTTAGTTTGGAAAAACCTAAAATAATGGTATTCTGGAAAGGGGGTAAACTATCGAAAAAAGAAACTTGGAATTACAAACACGCAAAAATTGAAATAGTAAAAGCCTATAAATATCTTGGATTTAAGATTACTCCGCAAATATCCATACAAGGGCATTTGGTAGAAAAAATCATAATTGAAAAATTTAGTGTTTCTTAAAACTACTAAATAACAATAATATACGTTTAATTCCAAATACAATGTGTAAAATTCAATATCCAGAGCTATGGTAAGTTACTCATCAGAAACATTTAGTTTCCAAAAGATATTCCCCACCTAAAACACCCATTTCCGAATCCCAAATAATTTCCTTCCTGAATTCCTTAGGACACCACTTCCTCCTAGGTGCAGATCTAAATGCAAAACACCAGCAATGGGGAGCCAGATCCACAAATTCCCGAGGCCGAACATTGCTATCTGCACTTAATTCCCATCGCAGCAACATCCTTTCACCTAATACACCCACATACTGGCCAACAGATCCCAACCGCAATCCCGACCTTCTAGACTTTTTCCTCCACAAAGGTCTAGGATCACTACACTGTTCTATTTCAAGGTTTGATGATCTTTCCTCAGACCATAGTCCTCTAGTCCTAACCGTTTCCACATCTCCCATTCCCAAATCATCCCCACCTTCATTTATCAGGGGGCCAGTTAACTGGAACCTTTTCCGTCAAATACTGGAAGATAATATTGACCTCAGAGTTTCCTTAAAAACACCTGAAGACCTCGACGATGCAGTGCATTCCTTCACTACCCTGATCCAGCAAGCAGCTTGGACTGCATCCTCACCTGATCGTCCCAAAAAATACCATAACATAAATCCTTTACCTCAAGATCTATTGGACCTAATCCATAGCAAACGTTGCTCTAGGACCCTTTGGCAAAGAACTAGGCATCCTGATGACCGGAAATCGTATAATTATTATTCCAAACAGGTAAAAAAGAAACTGGAAACTTTTAAAACCCAATCCTACAATTCCTACCTCTCCTCATTATCCGCTAGTGATAACTCCCTCTGGAACGTAACCAAAAAAATCCTTAAATTCCAGTCCATTTCCCATCCACTTCGCCGTGATGATGGTTCCTGGGCTTCGTCAGATGCGAATAGAGCAGAGGAGTTTGCTAAACATTTATCCTACACATTCACCCCTCACCCTGAACTCCATCCCAGCCACACTGCTGAAGTTGAAGAATTCCTCTCTTCACCAATTCCTCTCTCTCTACCTCCAAAACCTGTTAACCCCTCTGAGGTCAAATTCCTTATAAACAAATTAAAACCCCGAAAATCCCCTGGATATGATCTCCTCACTTCACAAATCCTCAGACAACTTCCCAAAAAAGCAATCATATTCCTTACCTATCTATACAACTGCATCCTTCGCACAACCAACTTTCCTTTGGTGTGGAAACATTCCATAATCATCCTGTTTCCAAAACCAGGTAAACCTGTTAATAACACATCATCCTATAGACCGATAAGCTTACTCCCGATCCTCTCAAAAATCTTTGAGAAAATCCTTCTCAAACGCATCCTACCCATAATCGAATCCCACAACATCCCTTCTCATCAGTTTGGATTCCGCTCAAGACATTCCACTGTCCAACAAGGCCTTCGTGTTGTGGACCATATATCCTCTGCACTTGAAAACAAGCATTATTGCACTGGTGCCTTTCTGGACGTAGCACAAGCTTTCGACCGGGTGTGGCACGATGGCTTGCTTTTCAAGCTCAAAACCCATTTACCCCAATCCTTATACCTAGTCCTCAAATCCTACCTCTCAAATCGTTCCTTTCAAGTCCGTTGTGACACCGCATTCTCCACTTACTATCCAGTTGAGGCTGGTGTTCCACAAGGCAGTGTCTTGGGCCCAGTTCTCTATATCCTCTTCACTTCCGATATCCCTTCCAATCCCGATACATTTCTAGCTACATTTGCTGATGATACTGCCATTCTATCTTCCCACTCAGATCCTCAAATAGCATCTCTAAACCTACAATCTCACCTCTCTTTGATTGAGCAGTGGTGCAACAACTGGCGCATCAAAATCAATGAATCAAAATGCAAACATATCACTTTTACCCTGCGACGCAGATCCTGTCCGTCAATCCTTTTTAATTCAATTCCACTTCCCTACTCAGACACAGTCCGTTACCTTGGCTTCCTTCTTGACAAAAGACTAACTTGGAACCCACATACCAGACTTAAAAGACAAGAACTTAACCGACGATATGGCCAGCTGTATAGATTACTAAGTAGGACATCCCATCTTTCGATTGAAAATAAACTTTTAATCTACAAGACCATACTGAAACCTATCTGGACCTACGGACTTGAACTGTGGGGAACTGCTAAACATTCGAATATCAAACGCATCCAATCCTTCCAGTCCAAAGTACTTCGAACAATAGTCAATGCCCCATATTATGTCACAAACAAGACCCTACACCATGACCTTAACATCCCATTTGTCCTCGACATCATCCCAACCAGATTCTCAAACTTTCACCAAAACCTTATCCATCATCCAAATCCTCTAGCTCAATCCCTATCCAGCTCCCTTCATCCCTACAATCCTCCACGAAGGTTAAAACGGCAGTGGCCCAGAGATCTCTTGTAAATATGCTTCTGGAGTCCTGGCAATGGCCAGCTTCTCCACTCATGTCCCGAGCGTCTGTGGCTCTAGTGCCCTCTTTCAGTCTCCATTGGCTTCTAATACCAGTGATGCGGCTGGAAAAGTGGCACTGGAATCTCCTGGAGTCTTGCTTTGCCTTCCACATGTTGGGGGAAAAAGCCTGGCTCGGAGATTCTTGGGCGAATGTATATATTGTATATAGGTATGATTGTGTTTATAAGTTTCTTTTTATGTTATTGTTTATTTTTTTTTTCTTTTATTTTCTTTCTTCATCAGTATTATTTATTTACTTTTTATATTTATATTTATTTCTCTATTATTTGTATATATTGTTTGAATGAGAACTCTTAGCCCTAATACTTATAGCCCTCCAGTGGCTGATTGTATTATTATTCAATAAATAGATAAAAAAAAAAAAAAAAAAAAAAGTTTCCAAAAGAAATACGAATTTTAAAAGTTTTTTTTAAAAAGGCAGTTTTCACTTCCATAAAACTGCCCGGACTATGTGTTGTATTTAGAGACAGATAAAGAATCATTAACACATTTTACATACAGACTACATCTACGATACATAAATAAAATTCTAACATTCTCAAACAAACGTTTTCCGAAAGTAATAGCTGAATATATAATCAAAAATAATTTATTTTTGCATAAAGAAAATATAGATATTTATAAAAAATTAACTGGCAAAACCACTTTAATTTACAGCTATAAACAAATATCTAAACTATTAGTGGCAGTGCAAAATGATTTCAAGAAACAAATTATAAATAAAGTAGGTTCTGCAAAATTTCACCTTATATATAAAGAATTAAATTTCCAACTCGCTGATACACATTATATTAATAACCACCGAAAACAACATTTTATGAATACCATAATTAGACTCCCATGTGAGCATATAGGATTAAATTATTCCATTGATAGATCTGAAGATAAACTGTTCTGCTCTATT